CTCTGGTTCACTGGATCATCAGCACACATGTTGCTGGTACAGTGCAACAGTTAATTGAATCATGTGATTATGAGTATGGAAATTCCAAAATAAAGCCAATTAAAGTTTATCTCCCTTCCCAAGGCCAGACACAATGCAAAGCAATGGTTCTTCCCTAAACTCCTCCCCCAGATGGTCCCAGAGAGTGTTTTTTGTTTTTCCATCTGGAAGCCTCTTTATAAAGAAGTTAGGGAGTCTGTCCATAGTGTTCAGAGTCATTTCCTAAGAGACCACAGTTTAAACTTGTTTACTCTATACATCACCCAATGAAACTAAACTCCCTGGAAGGATGATTCTCAGGTCATTGTACTGACGGCTGCAACATTAAAGTAGCGTGCCATTAGTTAAAAGCAGGCAATCCTATCAAACAGAAAAGTTTATACTGCTGTGTATATAATAGCAGTTTGTGTCTTTTCTTAAGTGAACTCTATTAACAGAATAACAGAATAACAGAGCTGGAAGGGACCTTGGAGGTCTTCTAGTCCAACCACTGCTCTGGCAGGAAACCCTAGACCAGTGATGGCGAACCTTTTAGAGACTGAGTGCCCAAACTGCAACCCAAAACCCACTTATGTATCGTCGGGTGCCGGGTGGGCGTGGCCCATTGGGTGGGTATGCCAATTGGGTGGCATGGCCCATTGGGTGGGCGTGGCTGCAGTGGTAATGGCAGAATGGGTGGGACTAAAAAGTTCAATCAATCAATTCCAACTTTGCAAAATCTTTTTTTTTCCTGCGAGTTGAAATTGATTGATTGAACCTTTTTTTTTTTTTTGCACACAGTGGTGAAGGCCTAAAGCAAAAAGCTTTTATAAAACCCAGCTGAAGGCATAGGGCTGGGGCAATGGCGCGTGTGCCCACAGAGACGGCTCTGCTTGCCACCTGTGGCACACGTGCCATAGGTTCGCCACCACGTCCCTAGACCATTTCAGACAAATGGTGGTCCAGTCTCTTCCTAAAAACTTCCAGTGTTGGAGAAGGGACGGAGGGAGGGAGGGAGGAAGGAAGGGAGGAAGGAAGGAAGGATGGATAACAGAATAACAGAGTTGGAAGGGACCCTGGAGGTCTTCTAGTCCAACCCGCTGCTCAGGCAGGAAAGACCATTTCAGACAAATGGTGGCTAACTGAATTGTTATTTAAATAAAAATGTTGCAAGCAGTTAAGTAATTGTAAAAAATGCCTTCAGTCTTACACTGTCTTGGAATTCTTATGAATTTTAAATAGCATTCTTAATAGCATTGTGGGTTCCATTAGTGGTATTTTGACTAACTCGGCTCTCCACTTCACTTCCTTATGCAGACCAGAAATATAAGCAGCAGTGGCAAATTCCAAATGTCATTCTGCACTGCTTAAACAAATCACTTGGCTTTTCCTTAGTATTTATTTTTAAGCTCGGTGCTGAGAATAGCAAAAACATTTATATGTAAGATTTTTCCATTCTCCTCCTTAATAACAAATGGTCTAGTGGAGCAAATGGGATTGTCGTAAAACTGGCCATTTCCCTCCCCTTAACCATCTGTCCCAAAAAGTGACAAGTGTGTTTGGAGAGAGAGAAAACCATGTAGGTTTAAGACCATTATTCCTTGAAAGGAAAGATGCCATTCAGGGTGGCCTTCCCATATTATTTTCACAATATTTTATTTCCAACTGACAGTGCAAAGAGAAATAAAGGATTGCACACAAAGGAAAAGCAAAGAAGGGTTTGAAATTATTCATATTAATGGTAACAATAGGCCTCACTATGGCAAGAAACACTGTTCCCAATTCCAAAACTTGGATAACTTATTTCCCAGATTGATGCCATCAAGCTGTGAATTTTCCTTTCTGTTTCTGTGTCTGCTAATCATTATAGAAATAGGCAGATTGGTGAGGAACTTTTATCATCACATAATGACCCTAAGAAACGTGCTTAGGATTTTAATTTAATACAGGGGAAAAGGGTATTGATTAACACATAATCTTGCGGTGAGAAAAAATTCTCCCATGGCCTTATTTTATTACAGTTGCAATTTAGGTAGCACTACGTTTGGACAAGAGCTATAAATTTCTAATGATCTGATAAATGTGAAAGTAATTCTAGTGCTTTTGAGGACAATTCCCATTCAACAGTAGTTGAAACAGGCACTCCGTGTAAAGACACATAAATGTAGATGCTTAACAATACAGTATTCCACATCTGAAAAGCATGGAGATGATCGTGTACCTCCAGCTGGTGCATAGCTGCCACTTGCTGAGAATTCATCTTTATGAGCTTCTCTGCTTGTTTTCATCTTTACCTTTAAGCAGAAAGTTCTACTTTATGGTCAGGAGTGTCTGCGGGTGGGGGGGGGTTCGGAAAGTCGGGTTGTGGCCAGAACCATGCAACTGAAGCCCCTCTCCCTGTTTAACATATGTTGTGAAGCACACAAAAAGGGGCAGGGCTTTTGTTGTTGACTTTTTTTGTCCCCTGCTGGCACCTCTGTTTATGTGTGTTAACTCTGCCTAAATTAAAAGGTAAAGTTGCCCTTTGGGTGAATAGAATTCTTGATAACTTCACAGATGTGTCCGTGTGGTTTTCTGGCATACCATGAATATAGTTTTAGAGAAGAATATATGTGGGTCGTGTGGAGCCCTTGATGCTCTCTGAAGCTTGGTTGTTTCCTTGCCGACATTTCTTAGATAATGAAATGTCTACAAAGCAAACAACCAAGCTCAGCGAGCACCAAGAATTCCACAGAATATAGTTTTCCAGACAGCTTTTTCAATTTCAAAGTTTATTTTCCTTAATATATATATATATATATTTGCCGTGGCCTGGTTTTTCACAAATCCTGTTTTATCTGTATCTTACATACACATAACTGTTACAACTGATACGTTATTTCCAAGTTTTATTCTTGGTAACCCCATCTGAATAGAAGCTATCTGCTCTTAAGCCCTGGTTATAGTAGATACGATAGTACACTCCATAGTTGTAAAGCAGTGATAGGGTGACTTAACGAATTGTGGTAAAAGCAGTGGTGGGATTCAGCCAGTTCGCACCACTTCGGCACAACCGGTAGCTAATTTTTTGTTGCCCAGGCCCAGAATGGACCTCTGGAAGCGGCATCCACACAGAGAACCAGTTGTTCACATATTTGAATCCCACCACTGGGTAAAAGCACTATTTGGTCTATTATTTTCTTCATTGTGGCAGCAAGACTATTAAGTAGAGGAAGATACTTTATTTACAGAAGGATTAAATTAAGCTTCACTCTGACTATGAAATGACAAGAAAACAATATATATTTTTCAGAATTACAGCTCAATAGGGCTCAGTTAAGCTTAGTATATGAACCCACCCTATTCAGTAGAGTACAGTAAGAGTTGCTGGGCAGAAAGCATCATTCTTTAATTCCATTGTAGACTGCTCTTCAATTATACTCTCAGAACTATATAATAAATACAGTGTGATACCACTGTGTTTGCAAATATAAAGATCAGAATGAATGATTGCTATGGAAACAGGAACAAACAACATTTAAGAATAGTTTGTTCCACACTTAGCATTTTCATCACCATCATTTTAGCTAAAACTACACAAAATATTTTTCAGTGTAACACTGCTTTTCATAAGCCTTATTTATGTGCACTGTGTGTGAAGCTATAATCCTTTGGCCTAAGCTTATTTATGACTGAAGAATTTGCTTTGTCAAACTTCAGTGATGTATTGCCTTGCTAATTTATAAAAATTTAATCAGAAAGATACCAAGTGTTCTTTCCTATATTAGCCCCCATAGGCAGATGTGAACAAGCAGCAGTAATCTGAGCTAAATCTGTGATTAGGAGTTGCCATATATTAAATATATTACTGAGGTGACCTGGAAATAAAGCACTTCCAGGTCACCTCAGTAATACGGGACGTTTTCTTTCAATTTTTTTCTAATTGAATATTCATATACATTTTTTTCTCAAGCACTGAAGATTTGTTTTCTGACTTAGCTTCAGTAAAATACATTTAAAATTACTGAACTTATTTTGAACATAGCCACATGCTCCCCTAGCTCTACCTTGAAGATGTGTCATTAAGTGTCCTTTAAAGGCATGGCATCCTGACATCTTAGCCCACAGCCCATAACTGAGATTGAACTTAGTTTGCAGCTGCTGCTTTCCATCTTCTCCCAACACGAGGCTTGCTATATGCAAAAATTGTAGTGCTTTAGGAATGACCACAGAAATGAAACACTTGGGTGCTGGAATCTGCCTAGGTTCTATTTTCCATTTTTGGATACCTAGAAGCAGTACTTTTTAGTACAACTGATGGGGGGGGGAAACACTGTCTCTAAAAATGCAGTCTAATTTTACCTACCTGGTCAAGATTTGCAATGCATTGATGCAGTAATTTTAGACAGCGTGAAATAAATTATCACTGGCCTTTTATTAGAGAAGTATGTTGGCTATATTTTTTTGTTTTGTAAAAAAGATTTCATGCACTCTAGTACCATCATCCTTACTTAAGGAGGCTAAAACAATTAAATGTTTCATCAATAGACTTTGGATCAACATCCGAAGGAAATTTTCAAAAGGAATTACAATACTTACTTGAGAGTCTTTGTAACATAATCTTTGCTTAAACTATTACTCCTGATCAGCTGATTAATAATTAGGTTCTTTTAGGCACTGCATTCCAAGGCTTTCTTTTGCAAATAATGTGTGCAAATACCTATGCTAAAAATAAAAGTGTTTATATTCTTGTGCAGAAAATAGGAAAGAATTGCTGCTCTGAGACGCAGGCTGAAAAGTCTCATAACTTGGTACCAGTTACAGAGAAGGGCGAAGTTGTTGGTATTTGCATTATTTTTAAAATGAAGTTGCAATCAAAAGTTCCTGCAGTTCTAATTTAAGATTCCATTGTACAAATTTATTCCCCCTTGTCTTCTAACTCAATATTATATAAGCTGCAAGGCTGTTGAAAGGAATAATTCTACTGACAAACATTAGTATATATGAATACCCTTTAATTTGTAGCATCACTACTAATGCTTAAGAACCAGTTTCTTCCACATTTATTGGTATAGGATTAGTTGCAGGAAATACTTTCTGCTTTAGATCTGCATTAGCATAAACTCCACTTTCATCCTGCCATGTGTTGATTCCATGTCTCCTGTAATCTGCTGTGTCAGTAAATTGGGAATGACATTTCCTATGTACTACAGAGTACCCGCTCGTATCAGGTGCAACCTAAAGGGAAGGTATTCATGTATATTATTACTCAAAAGAAAGTTTTGAGGAGCAAACTTTAACATTGGCACTACTAATACCAAAAATAAGTTTAATCAGCTAATATATTTCTCTTCCAATAACATTTTAATTATTTACATTTCTCGAATTAAAAAATGTGCGTGGAAAAACCGTGTGAGTGGTAACATTTTTAAACAGATTTTCCAAAACAGCAAATCTGTATTCATCTCTAATTTTCAGTGTCTAACTCTAAAAGAACTGATCGTAGTATTACATAATACAATCCTGTTTTCAAAACTGGTAAAATCTTTGCCATCGATGAAAAATATAGGATTCTCTCAGTCATGGCTGTATCTGCAGATAGTTCTTGACTTATGACCACTGTAGAAACCAGAAAATGAAAATCAATCACTATGGTGCAGTCATTAAGAGAGGCATCATGTGACCACACCCAATTTTATGACATTTTTGCCATGTTCATTAAATAAACCACCTGCAGTTATTAAGTGAGACATCACATGACCATGATACTTGTCATCTTCCCCATTGACTTTGCTTCTCAGAAGCTGTCTGGGAAGGTCACAAACGGCAATCACGTGACTTCAAGACACCGCAAATGTGGTGAGGGCAAGCCGGTTGCCAAGTGCCTAGGTCACAATCATGTGACTGGAGCAATGCTGCAACAGTCATTAAATCTGAAGACCAGCTAGCCTCGGCATAACTTAGGACACTTTGCTAAAAGAATGGTCATTAAATGAGGATTATCTGTAACATTAAGATATATTATGTACTATCATTTACTAAAACGGTGGTGATTTTGTCTGAGCATACATCATTTTCTTTTTTTGCAGTTTCTTTTTAATTTTTTTATCTCTTTTTTATTATGTAAGTTGCTCAGACTCACTTTGGAGTTCAGCAGCCTTCCAAACTTCATTAATTAAATAAAACCAGACCAGTTACAAAACAAGAAGAGTCAGCTGTAATGTTTCACAATTCATGAAAAAAGCAGGTTTTTGCAAAAAAAATTGCAAAGAGCTTAGGTATTGATGGGTTATTTTTCTTTGGCTAGAAGGGATGAGGAGAAAGGCTTGGTTAATAAAAGAGAATACAAGTTAATGGCTGGGAGGCAATATGGAAGTATATCCAGGAGGCATTAAGTTCAAAGAAGCCAGGTATCTAATGCCTAGGAAACTTGGGAGAAAGTAGATGAAGCAGGGGTATCCAACCTTGGCAACTGGAAAACTTGTGGACTTCAACTCCAGAATTCCCCAGCCAGCTATGCTGGGAATTCTGGAAGTTAAAGTCCACAGGTCTTCAAGTTACCAAAACTGGACACTCCTGAGGTAAACTAAAATGAAAAATACATAGTAAGAAATAAGGATGTGTGGGAACAGAAACTGTGAAATTGTGAATTAGATACGGTTGGAAAGAGAGGGAGGCTGCCCAGCCAACAGACTACTAAAGAAATTTCAGGAAAGCAAAATATGAGAAATACTTTTTATAAAACTAACTTAAAAGAAGCACATTTACAGCTGGTGGAAGCTAATATTCCTGTTTTTAATACGAACAAAATGATCCAGTGATGACCATGTGTGAGAGAAAGAGAGCTATTCCATCAGAATAGATGAAGATATATTTTTCTTTTGGGGGCTGCCATGGTTACAAAAAATATGGTCACAATTCTTATTTTGTTAGATTCCTAATTTATTTAAAAAAAAAAAAGGAATCCAGTCTGAATCATTATGCAACAACATGCGTCCCTCTTCATTTACTGGCTTTGTGCAATCTGAACTGTTCTTTTTTTTAAAAAAATAAATCACATATACACAGACAGAGAAACATAGCAATGTTCTCCGGATGTTTTCATTTGTAGGAGTTTTATTATATAATTAACTTTTTTCAAAATCATAAAAGTAGATGCCAATAAAGAACACAATGCAATTTTGTAATCCAAATAAGAACCACTGTCATAGGTTTGATTTTGCGATAAACCAGAGACATTGAAATGCATTCTTTTACAAATGTACTAGAAAATAATGCAAACCAGAGATTGTTAACAGCAAAAGATAACCTTTAGTCTTTTATTTCTATGTTACTATTTTGTTTTCTTGTTTTCATCTTCTATCTTCTAGCTCAGGGATGTCAAACTTGCCACGTCCACGTGACATGTCACGACATATCACGACTTTTTTTCCATTGCTAGCAATGGGGTGGGTGCGGTTTCGCCATGACGCATCCGGCCCGTGGGCCAGCAGTTTGACAGCCCTGTTCTAGCTTACATTCTACCTTATCTATCATTTGTAGTCATACATAGCTTATCAGTGGTTTCCAGTAGAGCCCAGAGTTCTATGTCCTATACCTTTATAGTTTCTATAGTTCTGTCAGCTTTATTTCTACTTTGACTTCTCATTAATGTAACACTTTTCTTCTCAAGACCTATCCCTGACACGTCACTTATGTGGCTTGTTGGGTGATAGGAGAATTTGGATTATTCCAGCTTCCAGTTCCTCAGAATCACTCCCTGAAGTTGTCTTTACCATAAATGCTGGTCCCCTCTGGAATTTTAAGGCTGGGGGGGATGGTGGGGATGCTTCTGATGCTGTTGTGCTGTTTCCCATGTTTTAGAGCACTCTGCCGCTGGCCCCAGGCTTCCAGCACCTAGGTTTCCTGATATCTCTCAACCATGGCAACTTTAAGATATGTGGACCAACTTCCAGAATTCTGGAAATTGAAGTCCACATGTCTTAAAGTTGCCATGGCTGAGAGAAACACTGCTCTAAAGGGTGCTTATGCTACAGCTGTTATTCTTCCCTGCAGCTGCCTCATTTCCATTACTAAGACTCTCCTCTACAGTCTTCTCTTTTAGTTTGGTTCTTTAATTTTCTTTTTGTCATTCTTTTTTATTTTCCAGCTTTTTTTTTTCATTTTTTTCTCCAAATACTGCCATGGTGATTGTTGTACCTAAGCCCTCTTTACAGCATGGGAAAGAGAAGCACAGGTATTCTGGTTGCTGTATATTTTTCCTTCTAAAATCATATATATATACATTTTAAAATGTTTCGCAGTTGCGACTTGAACCTGCTTAACGCCCCTAGTTGGAGGCTGCAAGGCAAAAGATATTGTAAAAAGTAAAACTGCAGTATAGCAGTTAAAATGTCAAGGTGTAATCAATCAGACTGGTTTGTCTGAAAAACTTCCTGTATATACAGTACTCCCTTGACTCGGCTGGCAAAGAGGGGAGGAAAGCCTGTGGCTGGTGGTTAAATCACTGTCTAGTATGTAAACTGCCCAGGTTTGAATCCCATAAAGGGTGTGGCTAACTGAAGAGAGCAGAACGAGCTCGAAATGGCCGGACAATATTAGAAAACTTAGCAGGGTAACACTGCTAACACACCTATAAGATAAGCCAGCTCAAATACTATACTACAGATTTTGGACATTGCTTAACTGTTTTCAAAGTAAAATCTGCTAAATTATAGAGATCTTAGGGGCAATTGTCATAATAGTTGCCTGGTAGAAGCTACTTAATAAAATCCTGTTACGCATAACATTCCATACCCTTTATTTTCCCATATTTTTCCTGTTCCCATATACTTACATATGGCATATAGTCATATGGTGGAACATAGTCTATTCGGTATGTTGTATCCATAAACCTGTAAAACATAAACCATGTAGTAAGACTAGCTCCACAGTATTTTTCTAACTATATTTACAAGCTCATTAAATATAATTGAAGATATAGGTAGTCTGTCTCTTCAAAATCAAAACCAAAGGAAATTTTCTCAAGTGTATACAAAGCAATTAAAATATTCTCTAGCCACTATTATATTTCCCTGTTATAAATTATTTCTGCAGAGGTCAGTTTTTCTTTCATTCTTTCTTTTTTGGGAGGAAACATGCTATAGCAGAGGTCCCCAGCCTATGGGCCGTGGCCCACTACCAGGCTGTGACTTCTTGGCCACCAGTCCACCTGAGTGGGTAGTCAGGGCGCAGGCTAATGTGCGTGCACTCACTCCCCCTTGCACTGATGCTAGCCAAGCCGCGAGCCTCTCACCGGCGCTAGCTGAGCTATGAGCTTCTCACGGTGCTAACCAAGCCACGAGCCTCTCGCCAGTGCTAGCCGAGCCACGAGTCTTGTGCTGGTGCTAGCCAAGCCACGAGCCTTGCGCCAGCGCTAGCTGAGCTGCGAGTTGTGAGTCTCTTGCTGGTGCTAGCCGAGCCGCGAGATGTGAGTTTCATGCCGGCGCTAGCCAAGCCGCGAGCCACGCGCCGGTGCTAGCCGAGCCACGTGCTGGCGCTAGTTGAGCCATGCACCGCATGCTGGCGCTAGCAGCCCCATTTGTGGAGCATGCATGCTCATGGTCCTGTTTGCTTGCATGCATGCGCAGCCACATTTGCATGTGTGTGCATGCATGCATAAAGGTGCCTGCCCCTCCCTTTCCCATCGGGCCGCCAACACAGAAAGCTTGGGGACCCCTGTGCTATAGGATCTGAACATATAAGACATAAATATTTCCAAATATCTATTTGATTAATTAATATATCACACAATGACAGGTGGGAGTATTCTTGGATGGTTGCGAATGTTTCTGAAGAGGAGAATTACATACATATGAGAAGTCTCACTGTTTATAATAATAATAATGATAAAGTTGGAAGGGACCTCGGAGGTCATCTAGTCCAACCTCCTGCTGAGGCAGGAAACCCTATACCATTTCGGACAAATGGTTGTACAGTTTCTTCTTTAAAACTTCCAGTTTTGGCGCATTCACCGCTTCTAGAGGCAGGTTGTTCCACTGGTTAATTGTTCTAACTGTCAGGAAGTTTCTCCTTAGTTCTAGGTTGCTTCTCTCTTTGGTTAGTTTCCACACGTTGCTTCTTGTCCTGCCCTCAGGCACTTTGGAGAATAGCCTGATTCCCTCTTCTTTGTGGCAGCCCCTGAGATATTGGAACACTGCTATCATGTCCCCCCTCGTCCTTCTCTTTGTAACCTCCAGTCCCCTAATCATCTTTGTTGCTCTTCTCTGTACTCTTTCTAGAGTCTCAACATCTTTTTTACATCATGGTGACCAAAACTGGATGCAGTATTCCAAGTGTGGCCTTACCAAGGCATTGTAAAGTGGTATTAATACTTCACGTGTAAATAGGTCTATATCTTCAGCCTCAAAAGTTCTCACTAGGGCTTACAAGCAAACAGAATAAATGTCCTAATGTCCCAAGCAATTAGACAAGGTTAAATTATGTCTTCAGAATTTTAGGACAATTACCACAATCCAAAGATGAAGTTGGATTTGAGATATGTTTAAATTTTTCATAGCTCTGATGGAATAAGTGGCAGACAAGTTTCCATCTCATCTCTTTTTACTCATTTTTTTTCGCATACTCTCAGAAGAAGGAAGCATGAGTATAATAAATGTGTCTTCTCACGTCACTCCTAGTTAGGCCCTGTGGTGGTTACTAGTACGTGTTTTGCAAGAGACCATGTCAATACATAAAAACAAAACATACCCTTATCATCTTGTAATAAGATCATTTTGTACCACCTTTTCTTTGAAAAATTACCTCACTTAAGTTTCCGTTCCAAGCCTATGACTAAGTTTTGGAACAATTTCCAAGTTACAATCAAGGCAGATGATCCATCTCTTGCAAGCAAAATAAAATCTAGTTTTTAGGAACTAAGAAGGGAGCTTATGGCAGCTGACTTAGCTTCCTCTTCCTTTTCTTTCTCTGATCTGTTTATTATTCTTCGTAGAGCAAATATATCTTATTTCTGTGGAAACAATACTGGTCAACAATTCAGTTCAATGTACAAACATTACTCACTATCTGCACAGAATAATGTCAGTGATGTTGATAATGCTGGGGATGCAGTCTGTGCTCCAGCAGCCCATCTAGTTATCTTCCCCCCCCCCCCCCACTACTGCTAGAAAATCTGGAGTTTAAAAAATTCAGAGAATTACTAGATTGCAATAAAAATTGCTGCCATCTGGTGGTTACCTAGATTTATGCACCAGATTTCTGGTAGTTCTACTTTTGGGGACAATACTGTATACTCTGAACATTGCCAAAAAGTTAGGCTGACCAACTTTAAGCAACCTTAGAAAATGATTTTTCTGTTTCAGCCTGATTTCAAGCCCAGGTAATAGCAGGACAGAAGTGCAATCCAATTAATTCCCTTATATATAGTGACCTTTAATACCATAACACATGATATATTTCTGTAGATTATGTCTGTGGATTAATATAGTACCAATGGGATCTACTCTTATTTTCAGAGCTCATTTTAAAAAATGGAAAAGTACTTAATTCCTTAGAATTGTTTCAAGAGTTCTTATACTGCCTATTTGGTTTCCCATGTTATATAATAGTAAATTAGTCATTGTGCTGTTGGTAATCTATAGCTTTCAACACCTTCATTGTTTTGAAACAATGTGCAAGCAGAAAATTCCTAGACAATTAAAACTCTTATACATTTCTGTTTTCACCTAATTTAAAAACAGGTGTAGGAAGGCCAAAACCACTCCATGTCATCTTGACTCTCTTTCCTTCGTTCCTGTCCTCTCCTGATGAACTCCGACAATAAAAACAAAAGCTTAAGCCTTTTGACACCTAAGCTGAAAGCAAAGCATGTTTTAACATGGCTGAAATTGGCTAAATAAGAAAACAATAAAATCCCCTCAAGATATTTGTAGTTCTTCATTTCAGTAATAAATTTCCTCACACAAATTCTTCACCCCAAGGCCACCCTCTGGACTCACCAAAGATAAAAGATTGAAAAACTCCACAGACAGCTAAGCTGCATTTCCTCACTACCGGACTGGGCCAGGGGTGCTTTCCAGTAATCCCTAGAAGGTGGGCTGAGCCCACAAAGGCTCTAAAAACAATAGAAGGACCTCTGTATAAAAGTGACCTCTCTAAAGCTAAGATTCATGGCTCCCTTCAATTGCTATGACTGTCATGCTGTCAAATAAATTTCAGCTCTGCTTCTATCAACTGCCCTATGTTCTTTGGAACAGCAGGCTCAGAACGGATCAAGGATTTCTTCTAACTCAAGGAAAAAGAGGTTACTTGACCAAATCAAGAGAAACCCTGAGTTTGCAGAAGAAAGTGCCTCCGGCATTCCCGCAACTTTATCAGCTGCGAACTAGAGACTGCTCTTGTTTAAAAAGCCAAACATCCCAGTAGTGGTTTTTGCTAGGTGGAGGAGTTGCAAGCAAGCAGCCCAGCCCATGGAAACCTCCCCAGAAAGCTGTGGGAAAAATCAAAGAATTTTGTCTTTATTTCCAATCTGTTTTTCCATTCCTTCCCAACTTTCTCCAAAACAGTGAATGTATTTGCAAGTAAGTTCAACCAGAGGCATAGGAAACTTGAATTTACAGCATGATGGTTATGGAGTACAAATCCCTGTTGTAGGCAAAACTCCCTAAGGACAGAATTTTCAAAGGTCTGTGAAAATGTTAGGGTATTGTATTGAAGACAAAGAGGTCAATCAGAAATCATGAGAAACCAGTTTCATTAATTTAAATGAAAATAAACTGATAAATTATCAGATTTCTAGTACAAAAGAGAAACAATGAAATAACCGAAACTGAGGTTTAAGTGTTCTGGTAATGCCAAGAATAAAATTATCAGATACTTTTAAGTATCGAGGTAATGTTATGAGGTACAAATATAGGAACTTTGATCATGTTACAGGTTTCAATAAGCATCGGCATGAAGGCACAACAAAATCTGAACTTCATAGTAAAACTAAAATAATTAGCATATATGTATATACAAACATTTTAAACTTCTCAGGTGGGTGACGTGGTAACACAGCACCAAAACCTGTTTCAGGTAGCCCTGTATCCCTGAGAAGGAAAAAAAAAGAGACAACTTTCAGATTGAAAGAAAAATTAAAGGAAAATGCAAGCTTTATTTTAGATCCAATTGGCAATGCTGGATGGACGAATGGGCAGGCAGTCTTAAGTTAAAATCAGTTCAATGGGCTTTACAAAGAAAAAAGTGTAGGGGACTGCAACCTTAGAGAAATCTAGTATTACTTCATTTATATAAATCATGTGATTTTTTTTGTTTCTTTGCTCTACATTGCATTGCTGCACTGCTCTCTATTGGATGAATTGTGTCAAAGTCTTTAAACATACTAAAAAAATCATTACATTAACTTTGTAGTTTTCAGGATAAGTATTATGTTTAAAATCAGTTACTGTTTTCTCTTTTTATTTAATGCTTTGTGAATATTAATGAACTGTAAAATATATCAGAGATTAGATGGAGTAATTCTTGAAATAAAAGATTAATTGCTTCCAATGTTTTTAAAAACAAATATAAGGTAGAAAGAAAGAAGGGGACAAAAAGATATTCATGATATATTTTATATGATAGTCAATATTATTTAAATTATTGTCGATGCAAAAATATCAGAAATACCTGTCAACAACAATTGTGTGAAAGCCATCTTCATCCAGCAAAGGTCTCCAAATCTCTAGTTCTTTATATTCTTTTTTGCTACAGGGAGATGACAGATGATCTTGATATGTTGTTATCCATTTCTAAAAGTAAATGTTAGAACAAGGAATCATTACATAGTTCCAATGCAGTACAAAAATAACCAACACTGTTGGAATCCTGGAAATATAGCTTTACTCTTACAATTTATGCATTTCCACCCCAATCAATATTTTTTAAATCGATTGGTGCACAGAATGAAAATATATATGTTCTATTCTTATTACTATAACATTGATTTTTGGCTAGTGAATTAATTAAGGATGAATTGATTATTTTCTATTCATAAATAAAACATCCCAGAGCTTTATTTGAAAATAAACATTGCAACTAAATTATAATAAAACATCTATTAAACTGCACAATCCAGGTTTGAGGTTATTCTTGAAATCATTGGTGCTGGTTGAAATTAATATAGGTGGTTTTAATATCCATCTTGAGTCCTCTAAAAGATTTACACAATATTGATTAATTTAATATCAATATACAGATGTATTCTATGAATGGCTATGCTTTGTGGTAATATATTTATAAAAAATAAATAAATATGAATGTGATACATCAACATACCGAACAAACATGCTATCGACAATAAGCTATCTTACTTGATCCATGGTTCCAAATCTCCAGTAAGTAGACTGACATAAGTTCTTAGAACCCAAACTAATTTCATTTATATCATAATCCTTAGGTTCAGCCTCCCTGTTCTGGAACCTTTAAATTATAAGAAATCATAAATAGTGATACTAAAGCATATCTTAAAAGTTACTAATATCTACATTACTACTGACATAATATACAAGTCAAACCCAAACATGTGTTTGTGCAAAGCCGATTACATTTTTATTTTAAGCAAAGTCCCATATGAGAGCACTTCTCAAAAAGTGTCAAAAGTCTTCAGATAAATCTGAAATCAAAAACAAATACAAAAATTGGAAAAAGAAAACCAACTTCAAATATTATTAGTAACCAAACTGCTAAGCTTTATATTGAAAACAGCCAGAATGAATGACACTTTGTGACTTAATCATATCTGGTGGGTTTTGTTTTTTTTTAAAAAAAAGAGAGAACAGTATTAAACCACATCAGACCAGTGAACAATATTTTTTTCTTACCAGCCATACACAAGAGTGGGTCTCCCATAATATGCTGAATTGGAGCGCAAGGTCAACGCTCCTTTGCGTTCCATCACATCTGGAGGCCCTAATTCCATCTTCAAATGATTTTGGATTTTCACCACTTCTATAGGACCACTATATCTGAAATTAATTCAGTATTATTTCTCCTACTGCAGGGCAATTCACAGCAGAATATTCACATTCATTCAAGAGCAGGGCATTATAAGTAAGAACTTAATCTTGAGACCAATACTTCATTCTCTCTGTATTATTTCTCAAAGCTCCAAGCTTTCATTGGTCAACAAAAGAAATGAACAGCAAGCAAGCAAGACTTTGCAGCTTTCATTCTTTGCTGGACACATTAGTCTCCATGGTGACCACTGATGCTATAGAGGAAAATAACAAATCTCAAAATCATTCCGCCAAGAGGCCGGAACTACTGTTCATTGTAAGTCAAGGGGAAAGCAACAAATAATTCCCACAATGTAATACTATGGAAATATACAAAATGTGAGATATCATGCCAAGCTTGCCATCAAGCCTTATTGAGCTGGAATTGTGAAAATATATATATTGTTTCCAAGTCATTTCAAGGGCAGAGTCATGTTAAATTCAACCCTTTCTTCTGTCAATAATCAAAGTGTGCATTTGGCAGTGCTTAATTTTTTTTTAAATGAAAAACATTAGCATTCTATTTTGCCCAAAAGGCAAACTTAGTTTTAAAATTTAGGGCTCCCAAATCTGGGCTGCACAAATCTGGAGGAAGCAGGGAAGCAATCATAAGGTTTTCTGTATCAATTTTCTGCTCACTGATGGTCACCTAAACTTTTGCAGCCTTATTTTAGAAGCTAACCACCACTGTGGTAGTAATATTTCTTGGCAAGCAAAGTTCATACTGAATGTGCATACATAAATTGTTCTCTTAAAGAGAAAAAACCTAATTTTCATAAAAGGAAAAAGAAGCTGAGGCCCAGCAGTCCCTGGGCAGGCACTAGTTTCTTTTCTATGCTCGGCAGCTCCAGGAATAATTCTTCTGCCATTACATATATTGTAGATGATTTGCTTTGGTTTGCTGTGGAAAAGAATCACTAAAGAAAAACACAATATTAGCAGATTGGAAAGGATTTGCATGATAGCCTCACAGATAAGAAAAGTCTCTGTAAGTGATAAATAAGGAATTGAGCCTGAATTTATATATTCTACAGTTGTAGACTTGCTTATTGGAAATATCTCTGGATGCGATTCCGAAGGACAGCCATGGCAATAGAGAAGGCACATCCCAAAGTCCCAGTAGAATTATATTGTTTAATTGAGAGGACCCCCTCTGTTAGATCTTATCAGACAGGAATGATCAGAGCTAATAGTACCTCTGGTAACGAGGCCCTGTGCCCTGAAAAGCTTTGTAAGTGTCAATAAATACCTTGAACACACCCAGAAGCCGACTGGTAAGCATTGCAGCTCATGGACCTATGGTATCATATGGACATACCATAGCATGCCCATTATTGCCCATGCCTACAGTCCTATATTCACGACAGGACCAGTGATATGGTGCCAGTGAAATTGCTGTCATATTTCTTGCTACTCTACAAATAGTTAGTGTGAATAGAGGCTCCTTGCAGACTTAGACATGCTCACATGACATGTTAATGAATTTACTAGTCCCAGTTTGGTGCTGCATGCATGTTAGGTATACATGTTATATAGTCATCTGCTGCCAAGTCAGCAATAAGCAGGGGATATCAAGAATTTAGTATTTTAGTCATGATTGGGTAGTGCATTTTATTTTTTCACATTCTAATGTATTAGAACAGTCAAATAATATAAATGAAAATCTGTGATTTTAGGAATTGGAAAAGGTACTCAGAATTTGTAGTCATTTTCTCTGGTTTAAATTAGCTTTCTATTCTGCTAGGCTGGGACTTGGGTGATAGTGTAGGTGTAGTTTCTTATACTTTGAGGTAAAATATGTATTTCTTGGAACTGCCATTTGTCTCTTACTAGGGCAACGCAGGATGTTTCTTTCATTCTGAAATCGATGAGTATTTAGAATGAAACTACAAGAGGGCATAATACAGATTATATAATTTTATTGTATATAATGCTATTTGAGCATCATCTTGAGTACAATTTTATGAAGAATTACAGTATGTCTCAGATATACTCTGCACCATAGCAGTATAGTAAATATTTATATAATATAACCAAAATCAAAAATAAATTACAAGCAGTAAGAAATGAAACTAAAAAAGAGAATGATATGTTATAATAAATCTATATACAACAGAATTCAAGTCTTGAACAATTGAAGTCTTGACCATATCATATCATATGCATCACATTTTCCAGCACACTGATAAGACGTCCTTCATATGTAGAAAACATGAATTTGTCTTTAATTTACTATTTTAAATAACAAGCTTTCCATTGGAGCAAATCAATTTTCTTGAATCAAAATGAATTTTATGGGTAGAGTTGCCTTCAGGAGAGATTATTTGAACAATTCCATGGGATTTGGAAAGACCTATATTTGGCACTTTCATTTTTGTTCCATGTTGATTCCATTGAACAATACATTTATTATTTTTTACCAGAAATCCAACAAACATAGATATGCTTTGCAACATAAGTGTCTCATAAAAATCCAGAATCTATAATTTTATTTTATGATGGTTTTATGAGACCCACTACTTTTATGGCATAGTTATGATATTAATAGTAAAAGTTATAGTTTCAGTTGGATCCTACCTCAGATCCAAGATTTTGCTTTATACTTTGTTTCAGAGAAAGATATGAAAGATATGGAAACTTAGGCCCAATTTTAAATGTAAATGGCACAAAACACTCATTCTAATTACTATAATGTAGTCTGTGAACAAAGCTATTAAATAATCAGGTAATAATAATCAAGATGATTAAGATTTTTGCACCATAATGTCACCAAAAATTGCTGGATGAGAGATCTACTTCAATCCATATTCAGGGTTGTTACTTGGTGGAAATTTCACATAGATACAATTAAAAAAAAATTAATATGAAATCAACCAGACTTTATTTCGATTTCATGGAGCCAATTTTTACTTTTTCCTCTTGCAGACTTTATTTTCAGTGGATATCATCTCTAAGCCTACAGCTTAAACGACACTTGCATCTCAATAGTTTTGTGCCTGCTTAGTAAAAAGGAAAGACGCCACCATTTCCTTGCATACTTATCTGAAAGTAAGCCTCAGCGGGATTTGTTGCCAAGTAAATACTTTTAAGCACTGATACGAACTACTGAGTGAAACTGAATAGGATTCAGTTTGCAGTCCAATTCCATCCATATTCGCTCAATTTATTTTTTTAAAAAGGCGCTAAGACCCTAGAAACGCTGAAGAACGGTAGCGTCAGAACTGTATAATTATATCGTTTTATACTTGACAAAACTGCAATCCATGACTTTTAATACACGAATAATTAACTGAAAATATTGGGAGATTTCCCACCCACAAGCAAACTTGTGGAAAAAGTACAGCGGGGCGCGGAAGGAAAGCGGGGCGGCGGGCGGAATCGTCCCCCTGCTCGAGAGCCACCACTCGATCTTTCAGAGCTCCCTTTCCCCCCACATTTCCCCTCTTGTTTGTCCAGGCTCCACGGCGACCGGGTCAGGCGAAAGGAGGAGGCGGTCCCTCCTCGTCGGTTTACTCACTTCGCCGAGCTCCGCGCTCCGCCTTGCGGAGGCCTCTGACCCGGATGCGCTTTGCTTTCCTCGGCCTTCCTATGCGGGACGGCGACAGCAGCGGCGGCGGCGGCGCTGCTACCGGTCGTCAGCTACGGGGGCAGCAGCCCGAAGATGGCTGAGTCCCCGGAGGAGGTGGCCGTGCTGGTGCAGCGGGTGGTGAAGGACATCAACAGCGCCTTCAAGCGCAACCCGCACATGTGAGTGCAGGAGAGAGCGCGCGCGCCAAAGGAACCCGGGACGCCGCCGTCTCGTCCGCGGGTCCCTTTTTCGCCTTGTGGACGCTGCGGTGCCGAGAGACCCCTTGCCTCTCCTCGACGGGAGGGCTTGCGGGGCTCGGTTGTAACAAGGAGTAGTACAAGGTAGTAACAAGGAGACGAGGCCGGTAAACACCCTACCCCACCCACCCCCGGTCCTCTCTTGATTTTCTCTCTTTTTCGAGAGGCAGCTGGTGAGGGAGCCGAGTTGAACTTCTGCCGCTGGACGAAAGAGTAACTTCAAAGTATAAGGCTGGTAGGGAGGACGAGCTGAAGTTCCGGGGATCCGATCCGTTTACGGAATGGAACTCGTGGCTTTGCATTTGTTTAGACGAGGGCTTGCATTATGACCCGGGCTTCAACAGAACGGCGATGAGACGTCAGGTTTGCCGGAGAGGAAAACTGAACATGGGGGAACTGGTGAAGTTGGCACTGGCTAACTTTGAAAGTTTGCGTGTCCCCGCAGTAGCGAGGGAAGATGACGTGCTTTTTAATTTTCAGAGTTGGATGGTAAGCTTTCCATTGCAAGCTCTTCATCTGAACAGCGCGTTCTCAGCTACATTTCCAAAGAATCATCTTGTTCCTTAAGTTATCTCCAGGGATGCTCCATAGGTTAATAGCCACCACAGAATCTATTTTTAATATCGCTGTGTCGATCTAGTTTTGCAATAGTCTGTTCTAAATAAGATTTGATATTTGCTCAGCACTCTCGGGTCATTTCTCTGTCACAAAATCAAAGAAATTAGGAGATTACGATGAAGGTGAACAGGAGGGAATTGCACGAAGTAGTTGAGAGTTTTCCCAGGAGTGGGATGTTCCAAAATGCTCCAGATCTGTGGGTGGTGTATGCATTTCTGACAACATGTCTTCCAGAACAGGATTTGTGTCTATAACAATAAGGCCATTATCCTGTTTTAGAATACAGTATATATATTTGGAAATGCACCTATTACCACTCAGACTGACTTGTTCCAGGTGAAACATTATTCAGGTAACAAAGAGCTTTGTTTTGGATATCCTTAAAATAATAATAGATTATTAGTGGAAATATCTTGTTGATGTGTGATAGTTCACAGGTCAAAATTTTAAAGATCATTTTTTCCTGTTTTTGCTGTTTTTGAATTGGTCTTGAATTCTGTCAACTGCCTAGAGAGGAAATTGTCTCTGGCAATATTTTTTGGAAGTGGTTTGCCATTACCTGTTTCCTAGGACTCACAATTCCCCAGACAACCTTGGCATGGCTGGCTGGGGAATTCTAGGAGTTGAAGTCCACAAGTCTTAAAGTTGTAGTTAACTGGACCACCATCTTGATTTGTCCAATGTAATAATTTGTAGGTCTTCAACTGATGTTCTAGTGATTTTGATGCCACTTGTCTTGATTATACTTTGCCTTCTCCTTTTACATCCCTTAATGTTGCCAAATATAATAGATGTTCTAGTCCAGACATGTCAAACTCGCGATGTCACATGACATCGCGCAACATATCGGAGCTTTTTCTCCATTGTTGGCAATGGGGTGGGCGCGGTTTCCTGGTGACGCATCTAGCCCGCAGGCCAGCAGTTTGACACCCCTGTTCTAGTCCATTGTCTACTTGCAGTTATGCCCAAAGTATGTGACTTTCTGTTTTCTGATCATCCATTTGTGGGAGTAGTTAGTCCTTATATGGGCCGGGATCATTTTATTGATTCTTCTTACAGTCCTCAGCACTTGTAGTGGTATTGTCCAAATCATGAATCAGATTCAGAAAAACATGAAAAAATCAAGTTTTTTCTGGATCTTTATCTTCAGTTTTCACAGCTATTTTTTTACCACTAGATAAGTTGCTACTCTAACTATTCCAACATTTGTTTTCATAAGAATATCCTTGTCCTTTATGCACTTGTCTAAATTTACTATTGCCTTCTTCTCCAGAATTACTTTCTTCACCAGGACACTATTCAATTCTATCTCTTCTGGAACAAAGAAAACAAAGCCATCTATTGTCTTCATTTTTTCACTGTCAACTGTGAGTTCACTGAGCATGATAGTTGACATTACTTTTGGCTTTTTAATGTTAACACAGGTTTTTAAATTTCCATTTTTGTTTCACAATGTGCTACTCTAAGCCCTTTTCCATAGTTCTTTACATTCATCTAACATTCCCTGAATGTTTCATACTGATAAATGGTGAAACCACTGTTTCTCCAGATTTGCTTTTTAAAGTACTGTAGCATCTTGTTTGTTATACTGTACTTCTGAAGAATAATAAGGTGTTCTGGCATTTTCATTAGCCTTATGTTCATTTTCTGGCATGATCTGGACAGTTAAAGGCCTTACTGCAGTCAGTGAAATCAAGGTGAATCTCCTGGTTTTATTTTGCCTTCTCAATTAACCAATCTTTCTTTGCATCAGATCATTCCTGAACATAGTCTCTTTTTACAAATGTTTCTACCACTCTACAGTGCTTTTTGTACAGGATGTTGGTATAATCTTCCCATTTTTTTTAAAAAAAACTTGTTTGGCTCTCTCCCATGTTTACTCTTGAGTGCTCTACCTTAACTGTCCATTTCCTGTGGTTTTTCTGACCTTATTTTCACTTTTTGTTGTAATTCTTGATTTAATCCCTTCCCATTTGATGCTGAAAATCTGTCTTCAATCATTAATTAGATAGTGTTACTAGCCAAAACTTTTATTCTCTATCTGATCATGTTTACAATTTGGGAGTTTTTCTTGATTCAGTTTTTAGTGTCTTCTACTTTTCATATAGCTTTTCAGGTTCTCTTTCATATGAGAAGTATATTGAATATGTTCCTCACATTGAACTTATATTCTACTGTAAGTCTGACTGCCTACTAGTTTCAACCATATCAATATAGTTTTATGTAGTATAATAAAGAACTGGTTTGTTATTGCCTCTTCTATAATTACTCTATAAACAATAATTAAGTAAATGCATTTAAATAAAATATATCCAGTAAAGTTTCTAGTCAGAAAGAAAAATGTTTCCAATGCATGAAGCATTGGAAAATATTTACCTTTTTCTATTCAAGCACTGCCTTAGATGTTTGTTAATTGCTTTTGCGATTACTTGTATTAAGAAAGCTAAATAAGCTTTATTGTGTGGAAAAAGCGAAGCATTATTGTGTGGAGTATATATATGTGTATTGAACTTTTGAAGCATCCATACATGCCCATCATAGTGTTCCCAATCGGAATATGTTATGTTATGCAGAGAAGAGAAACACGAATAAGAAATAACATACCAAAGAAATTAAAAAGGCATGAGATGGTGTAGTGCAGTGATGGCGAACCTTTTAGAGACCGAGTGCCCAAACTGCAAACCAAAACCCACTTATGGATCGTTGAGTGCCGGGTGGGTGTGGCCCATTGGGTGGGCGTGGCTGCAGTGGTAACGGCAGACTGGGTGGGACTAAAAAGTTCAATCAATCAATTCCAACTTTGCAAGATCTTTTTTTTTCCGCAAGAAGTTGAAATTGACCGATTGAACCTTTTTTTTTTGCATACGGTGGCGGAGGCCTAAAACGAAAAGGTTTTATAAAACCCAGCTTAAAGGTCTAGGACTGGGGCGACAGCGTGCGTGCCCACAGAGAGGGCTCTGAGTGCCGCCTCTGGCACCCGTGCCATAGGTTCGCCATCACTGGTGTAGTGTGTGGGTTTTTTTATTTTTTATGTTTTGGATATCTCTCTTTTGGTCATTTTAAAACTTGGTTTTGCCATCAGGCATTAGAACCTGGATTTGTGGTAGAGCCTGAATAGTGTTTGTGTTCATTATTGATGGGTTTTTATATATCTTAGCTATAGGTTGTGTTGTATGTTTTTTTAACATTGTTTTTATACTTAGGGGTTGCTGCATTTTGCCTTTAAGCTGTTTTTTAATTGCTGTGAGCTGCTTAGAGTCACATAGCTGAGAAGGGCAGCTATATACAACACTGAAATAATAAATACCTTATATTCTTGCGGATAAGCTGACGTTTACATGTTTAACCGAAATATCATGAAAAATGGGCTTGCCCTGGATAACACAACTTTGATTTTTTTGTATGATTTAATTTTCATAATTGGCTTATGTATAGCAGGTGCATTTTTCATGGTATGGTTAAAAATTCTTGGGTTATTTTATCTGCAGATGGCAGATTAAGTGTATGCAGGCTATATGGGTAGTTTTAAAAAGCTGAAGGAAAAATCCACCATACATACTCACAGATAGGTTCATCCCTGGATAAGTCAAATCCAATTTTGGGGGTGTATATACAATAAATAAAAAATCAGATTCCACCTTGCCAATTTATCAAGTGAGTCTTAGTAAATATTTTTCTCTTTAAGAAGAATATGAGGGTAAAGTGAGTTAGCAATTATATATTCCAGGTTCTTTTTGAAAGATTAGAAAAATTAAAAATAACTGCTCTCTGGTTATGATTTTTTTATTCCTAAGCAGAATTTTCAAATTCTGGCATGTTTTAATTGTCTTGTCATTTTTCCGTTGAAATACGGTAAATGAAGTAATCAAAAGAATCAAATAATGACAATTAAATTGCATACAATCTGAGAAATTTCCACGGGCAATGAACTGGATAGTGAGCTTTGTTATAATACTACATAAAACACTGAAATAAGTTATCAGGATGTAAATGCTATTTATTCAGTGAGAATATTTGAAAATAGAAATGTCTAGGATTTACAAAATGGGTTAGTGGTTGGTTGGTCTGCATTTACTTCTCACCTGCCAATTTTATGCAATTTTAGGGATAATTTTATTTGTTTTTTCTAGTACAGTCATATTCTCTTTCCCAGGCATATTTAGAACGCGGTAAAGCTTTTTTTTATTACTGTATTTAAAACATTTTAGAGCTTCCATTAAATATATATACAATTACAGCTTTATGATCCTCTGAACACTTGCCATAAAACTGTCCTGTAAAATTAACATATATAGGATAATGCTGTTAATTACAGAAGAAGAAAATTTTAAATTGGTTACTTCATTGGAAGGAAAACAAATTAGGTAGGCAGAATGAAGTGGATAGAGCCATGAGTAGCATTAGCATTAACACTAGATCCCCTCATGCTGTGCAGCATATCGGACAGCAAGGGATCTCCTGCATTTTTGGTCTTGGTCAGAGGTAGGCAACCTCGGCTCTTTTATGACTCATGGACTTCAACTCCCAGAATTCCTGAATCAGCTATGCTGACTCAGGAATTCTCGGAGTTGAAGTCCATGAGTCATAAAAGAGCCGAGGTTGCCTACCTCTGGTCTTGGTGAATACTTCGGTGTCTTTCCATGTGATGTTTAAATTCTTTAAGTCTTCCATGAACATTTTTCACTATGTATTTCAAGGGTGTCCTCTTGGTCATTTGATATCGGGGAGGGGGGTCCATATCGTTGCTATCTTTGAAGATTCAGTTGTTCTCCATGCGAAGAATATGACCTGCAAGTTGGAGTCTTCTGTGTGTGACAGTGTTGTTTCGTTTGCAGGAGAAACTCTTTTGGAGCACTTCTTTGTTAATAAGTTAGTAAGTTAGAGTTATGGGTGGGATGGAAAAAGTTTGGTCAGTGCAAAAAATGGCAACATCTGATGAAAGGAAGATATAGTTAATCTAATTTTTATTATTATTTTAAGAGATGAAATTGGATTAATCCCCTGCCCTGAAGCCAGATATAATCGAAGCCCAATAGTGCTGGTTGAAAACAAACTTGGAGTGGAAAGCTGGTGTGTCAAATTTCTTTTGCCCTATGTCCATAACAAGCTTCTTCACTACAAACTAAGAAAGCAGTGGCTCAACAAAGAAGGTAAGTTACTCCATAAAGTACAAAACATTGCTGTCATAAAAGCTTTTTCCAGCTCCTATATATTTTATCACCCATACCCTTGTGTAAAAATAACCTAATCATTCCCAGCTATCCTCAGAGGAATCTTTCTGAATTCTCAACAAATTTGCAATCTAAAGCATGATTACACAATTAATATTGCACATAGTTGAATCTTTTTGTACGCTGAAAAGAATCAGTGGAATAATCCGGAGACCTTTTAGCATATGATTAGCTCATCAGTACTCCAGAGCATACCTTGTGTACATGATTGCTGGAAACATAGCGATGCAGCTGAAGAAATAGCAGTAATGATCTTGTAAAGCAACTAGAATTTTAATGTTAAAAAAAGCTTTAAAAATTGGCAAAACAGGAATCCAGAGCATTTGCTGCGGACTAGCTACAGGTAGTTTAAAACTTAAAACCATTTGTTTAGTGACCATTCAAAGTTACAGTGGCACTGAAAAAAGTGATTTACAACCAGTCTTCACACTTAGAACTATTGCAACATCTCGACAGTCCTATGATAAAAATTCGGGCATTTGGCAATTGATGGTTGCAGTGTTCTAGGGCAGGGGTGTCAAACTGCCGGCCCGTGGGCCGGACGCGTCACGTGGAAGCTGCGCCCACCCCATTGCCGGCAATGGCAAAACCAGCCCGATACGTTGTGCGACATCATGTGACGTCGTGAGTTTGACATGCCTGCTCTAGGGTCATGTGCCTAACTACCCTTTCCACGACCTTCCCTAGAAAGAGATGATTGGAGACTGGATGGAAATTGTACTTAATGATTGGGTCCAACAATAGTGTTTTGAGAGGCTGTACTACATCCTTCTTCATGGCTGATGGGACCACCCCTCCCATGGAGAAGGAGATACCACCATTGCATCCAATCACAGATCACCTCCCGGGCAGCCTGAACATCCATGTCTTCCTATTGTAAGGGGCTTTGTTTACTTGACTAGCCTTTTCAAGAGATGAACAATACATTTGTTGGAATTCTAGTTCCTTTTAGGATTTCATGTCAAGATGGATTTGGGTATATTCTGTTTTTTGACTCAGCCAGAATAAAATAACCGTCCTTTGTTTTAACAGTTCTTCATTGGACCCATTTCTCAAGAGCAGAAGATAATACTGATGATAAGGTTCTAGGCCACTCCATAGTGTGAGGGATCTAATCAAGCTTCTCTCCTTGAGATGAGGAAGATCACTTGCCTAGAGAGTGGGGGAGTTTAAAGCGAATTGGTGCTTGCCAGAAGAACTTCAGCTGATTTATATGAACCATTCCTAGCAGTAGAAGATCATTATGCTTTATCTAAACAGCCACCCTCTCTCAAGTGTCTTTTTCTACCAAGTTGAAATACAGTATTCCCAGAGAATAGAGGCAATTTGGGAATAACCACTGTTTTATCACATTACAAGCAAGGGAAGATAAAATTTAGAAATGGCAACCTGACCATTTCAAGGAAAAGAAAATAAGCCTCTGAGTTCCCATCTCTCATTTTAATTTCTACTGTCAGCAAGAAAGTGATAATGATGATGTCTAAGGGACTACTTGCTTTTTAATGCCTAATTTGTTGCTGTCATCCCTGTTGGCAAGAATGTAGAAGCCTTAACTAATAAAGAATAAAGAAATGGTCCAAATGATAGATAGTCTCTTTCCTAAATTCCCTCTCCCGCTCCACAGAGCCACCCCCAAATTTAATGAGGAGCAAAGCTACAGAGAGGAAGGAACATTTCTTTCTCTTTAATGCAAGTTGAGGAAATCAAGACCTGATTTTTAGCCTTGATTTTACTAATAAAAGTTTAAATAGATTTAATTTTATATTGACTTTAATCTATTTAAATAAAAATGCTAGTACATTTTATAAACATAGATGTATCATTATTTTTATTGCTTTTTTGCATTTTATCTCGATAGTGCTGATTAAATTGAAAGTGTGATATTATCGCATCTTGTAGTATTGAAAGATAACATTGTGTTATTGCTGTGATATACAGGGTGTATCAAACAACAGGCTTCATGGGCCAATCAAAATATATTTTATTAATATTTGTTCAGAGAAATTGTTACTGTACTTAGGAATGTACAAAGGTCACGCATCAAATGAGTAAGGAACTATTTAAAAGAAAACGGTAACCAATTCAAACATTTAATATAATTTATACTTTAAATTCTCTGCCGGGGGTCCTCAACCTCCAGGCCGTGGCCCACTACCGGGCCTTGAGCCTTTTGAAACCAGACCACGGAAGTGGTGGGTAGCCACTTGTGTGTATCACCACTTGCGTGAGCAGTGGGCAACCACATGAACGTGCACTCCATTTGGGTGAGTGGCAGGTACAAGTGACTGGTGGTCACAAATGAAGCTACATGTGCTTGCCCACCACATGTGGGGGACCGTCACCTCTCCCCCTCCACCAATCCGCAAAGCCAAAAGGTTGGGGAACTCTGTCTATGGGCCCTGACTTTTGGTGCATTCTGTATATTTATATTGACATATGTATTTGTTGCACCAAATACAAAAAATTCACCATAAATGTATATATGCCTTTTGATAAAATATTTAATCCTCTTTATCTCTGTTTAGAGTTGATAGATATCACATGTACCTTGTTGTTGCTGAACCCAGATTTCACTACTGCATGGAATGTAAGGTAAGATTAGCAAATACACATACAAAGACTTTTGCTCATAGCCTCATGTTTTAGATTATGATTTCATGGATTCCTGTCTTCTTTAAGTTCACACAAGACTACTTATGAGTAACAGTATATATTATATATTACAGAAAATCTTATGTATAATTATTTTTAAATCAGTATACTGTATCTGCTCAACTGTGTAATAAAATGTGCATTTATATATGGATAGTTGTACAATATTATATTTTATTTATCAACATTTTTAAAGTGCCTTTTGAATATAAAATTCTCAAAGCAATATGCAAAACAAATTGTCAGCCATGCTAGGTAGACCAGAGTGGGAAATCATTTCCACTGGAAGGCTAAAAATACTTTTATTGAGATTAGCTATAACAATAGAATCTTGCAAGTTTGATTGTGCTTATACCTTGTAATCCTCCTCCTTAAACATCGGTGAATTTGAGAGACATCTACCTGAGTCACTTCCAAATGCTGCCTCCTTGTTCTCATGCGTATACAAATTTATAAACACCCATCTTTTTTAGAAACGGAGGGGGAGGGTAAAATTTAGATATAAATTGGAAGATATAAACCTAGTGCTAAAAGTCTCAATAAGTAGAAAGAAGCTCAGGCTTAATCCTAGCAAAATTGGAGTTATTGTTTCTTCAAAAATATTTTGGTTCTGAGATGGTGCTTACATTGGGATTGCACTCCCTCTGCAAGAGCTGGTTCTCTTGGACTCATGTCTGCTACAATAGCAGGTTGAAGCTGGGAAGCCTTGGTCCAGCTAAGGCTAGTGTGCTGGTGGTTCCCCTTTTTTGACCAGGATGCCATGGGATCTGTGATTTTTGTCTTTATGACCACAAGATTAGATTATCATTAGCATGTTCTACATGGAACTGTTGAAAATGACATTGGAAGCTATAGATAGTACAAAAAGCAGCAGCCAAGTAGCTAACTTAAAATGTTTTAAATCTCCAGCATAAGTCCCTAACATTTATCCTTTCAAATATATTTTTGGGGAGTCCAGCGGGCCACAACAATGACTGGCCAGTGTGCGCATATGTGCACATGCACTCCCCGCCACTTGTGCTAGTGCCCATGGCCCCGTTTGCACATGCGCACAGGCACAAACGGAGTCGCTAGCGCCAGGCAGGTACACGTGACCTGTTTGCACATGCGCGAATGGGGCCGCTAGCGCCGGGCGGGTGTGCGCAGCCTGCTCAGGCATGCGCAAATGGGGCTGCTAGTGCTGCACCAGTGTGTGTGGTGTCATTCGTGTGCGTGCATGCACGCATACCAATTTGAAACATGCTCTCCTTCCCTCCGGGCCGTGAGCCCGGAAAGTTGGAGACCTCTGCGTTAGACCATGTTTTGAAATATCCCAGAACTCTGCACTTTTAAATTATTTTTGAGTTTTTGATAGAGATATATTAAAGGTTAGGAGGAGATGCTGAATAAGCTGCCCAGTGAAAGATGAACACGGGCATGAAGGCAGAGCACGATAATTAAATGAATGAAAAGATTGAATCTGAATCCTGCAACACTGGCTTTTGCTGCTTATAATAAAATAACTCAACGATGGATTAAATACATGCTTTCTCACTAAGTCTTCAGGTTTGATCTGTAATCTCCACTTTAAATTCTGATCACCACTGTGAAGGCAGATCCTGCACTTTCCATTCACCTTCCAAGAGGTTATTAAGATTCGCTTCTTGCTGTATTAAATTTTATTTTTGTATGCTAATTATGACTAATAAAAGTGTTTTAAGGAGTAATCATTTTTACTGAGAAATGGGGGAAATAATCAAAACTTCCATATTATATATCATACTTCAGTTTCATGTTCTACTGAAGTAGATTGATAGAATATTTTGTAAAAATGTCATTTTTACATCTTAGTTTAATTTTACTTTCGTAATTTTGGTGTGCCAGTTTTTAAATAATTTGCAAATAATGATTAACGTTATTCATATAAGGCCTGAATTATTTAATAGGAACTCTTCAGCTAGCTGAAGAATTGCATAAATACACATCAGAAATTGAACTCTATGTTGTGAATGCACTTAGCAGGTTACATGACAGCCCTGCCAGTTGTCAGGCGCAGATGCACCCTCTTGCTAATGTATTGCATGAATGCTATGCAGCCAGATTCATTCATTTCTATATTTTAATACATGGAAGAGTATAGAAAAATAGTGATATCTGAAGCAGCTCTAATTAGGAGAATAGCTATTAGTGAAAACAGCTGTTTCTTTTCACTAAGAAAAGCATTGAAAATTCAGTGGAAGAGGTTTCCATTAATTTAATTTATTCCATTTGGTCATATCTAGCGTCGATGTTGTCTTGCTATACAGTAGGTATCACCAAATCTGTCTTCATCTCCTCTTGTATTGTAACTTCATAGATTTTTTTCAATGAATTGTAATACCGCACCATCTGTAATACCATCTGGGTAAAAGAGTACTATAGGAAGCATTTGGTTGTCTACGCCAGGGCTTTTCAACTGGTGGTATGCGTACCACTGGTGGTACTTTAGCACCTGGCAGGTGGTATGCGACTCGTAGCCAAGTGCAGCGGGGGAGGGAATGAGCTAAAGCGGCGCCACACAGGCCTGGAGTTGATCAGCCAGAGCTGTAGGGCTTTGTGGAAGCCCTGGGATCTGCGTATGCGGCTACATGCTGATTGGAGCTTCCGGTACACCCGGAAGAGAAGAGGAGGAGGAGGGCGGAGAGAGGAGAAGCCATAAAAGGAGCAGGTATGGAGGGAGAGGAATAAAAGCACACGGAGAAAGAGAGAGAAGAGGCTTTTGTTAGTGAAGCAATAAGAGAGAGCGAGTGGCCTTTGCAAGCAAAGTGTGAATGAATGAAAGAGCAAGCGAGAGGCTTTTGCGAGCAAAGTGTGAGTGAGCGAGAGAGGGGCTTTTGTGAGCAAAGGGTGAGAGAAAAAGGTAAAAGTGAGGGGGAGAAGGGAAAAAGAAAAGGCATTGACTTCTGACTTCCTCTGTTGCAGTAGAAGGAAGCATTAACATTGAACCTCAACTTTTTACTTTTCCATAATATTATAAACTAGCCATTTCTATAACAACAAATGAATCTAACCAGTAAAGCCCAAAATCCCCCCCCCTTTTTTTTTTTTAGTCATCAAGTTTTTGACGGCTTGCTAAGCACTGGTGATACTCAAAATATTGTCATGTCCTAAAAGTGGTGCAATCTGTGAAAGGGTTGAAAAGCCCTGGTCTATGCTACATGTGCGTTGCTTTTGGGAGGATTGTGTTACCTACTTGGATTTAACAGGGTGTTTGGTCTGATTTTTGTGGCTTTGCAAAAGTAAAGAGTCTCTTTTTACAGCCTTATGGCAGATGGCATAGTTTAATATTGCAACAGCAAATGGTAGGGTTTTCACATTTGGGTTTTCACATTTGAACCCACTTATGCTTCTTGAAGATGGAGGATGCAAATAGCCCTTGCATCATATTGTCCTAAACAACAAAAATAATGCCAGTAGGACACAATAAGAGACATCACTCCCTGCCACATCCTTTACTGAGGGTTTTGCCCAGGATGTACCTCTTTCAAAATGTAAATCCCATTCCAAAGAATCGAAGGCCGATATCCTACTCTTCTACTGATTAGGGTTCTTATAGGAAAGCTGTTGGTTAACTTGTTACCTTTCTCCATTAAAGAGGAAGGACAGAAACATAAAACTCTCTGGGGGACAATTAGCAATGCTGAGGAGGGGGCATGGCCATGGGCTGAAAATAGGGTCATGGGGTCAACTTTGTGGGGACGTGAGATCACCTTTTGCGACCTTCTGATGAGCAAAATCAACGGGAGAAGCTGGATTCACTTAACAATTGTGCTACTAACTTGACAGCTGAAATAATTCACTTAACAACTGTGGCAAGAAAGGTCATAAAACGGTGCAAAACTCACATACCTATCTCACTTAACAACAGAAAATGTGGTTATAAAGTCGAGGAGTGCCTGTGTATTGTTATGAAGCATTGCTTGCATATTAATTGCAATTTTCATTTTGAAATCTGCCATATGTGTATGTGTGTGTATATTCAATAGTTAGAAATACACAACTTTATATTTAGAAACGCACAATTGCCACATTCTTGTATGGAGGGGACTCCTCTGCTGAGCCCAAGCATCGGTAATGGCTTGGCAGCACAGGATCTGCTTGTGATGATATATTTTCCTGGCCATCTTCCTCATCTGATACTGTAATGACTTTTCAGGCCAGGCGCATAGTTGTGCAGTTCTAATATTATAAATCTGATGCTTTTTATTAATGTTTAAATAGATATGCAGCGGGTAATGGTATCATTAATTTTATTAGGTAGAAAGTGCTCTGCAAATTACCTTTAGTAGCTATGTCTTTGATTTTTGTTTCAGAAAAGAATTGATACTGTCTGGCACTTTAAATCCCATTAAAGACTTACATCTGGGGAAATTGGCACTAACCAAGTTTCCAAAAAGTCCAGAAACATGGATTCATAGGTGTGTGCTTTTACTTCTTTATACTGAAATACACATTTATGTTATCTCTCTGAGTGACAGATGTCATCTGAGAAAAAAAAGAAAGCATTAGGCAGGTCTTTGCTGTAGAGTATTTGCATGTGTGTTTGTGTGTGTGCATGTGCATGCACATATACATATTTCCAGTGTGAACGTATCTCTGAATTGTTTGCAGCTATCCAATTAATCTTGTAATCATAGCTATTATCAAAAACAAATTCTGAATTTTAAAGTAGGAGAAAGAAGTCAAAGCAGGAAATTATAAGGAAATAGTAAGTTTACATTAGTTTAATATTTTGAAAAAAAAAGATGAAAAATATACTTTAGGTTAGAGATTTAGATTTGTTTTACTTCTGTTATATACAAGAATTGTTAATCTTTGTTAACAGCTCCTTTGTTAGTCCTTTAAATGAGCAACAAAATAAATCAGGAAGCCATAACTTACCGTCACACTGAACCAGGAACAATCCAGCATTTTGTATATATAGTTTTAAATATTTGCTCTGCATATGAAATAATTTGAAACAAAGGAGTTTATACATCCCTATGTGGCTTGTTCAAATCATGATATTCTAAGCTTGGGATTGAATAGGTGTATGGTCAGTATTCAGAACTTATTTGAATATCAGTTTTTAAAGGACGTATTGCCATAAAACAGGAGTTTATTGGTTGGAACTATTAACCAAAGAATTTCATTATCTTAGATAATATTTTACAGTGTAATTGAACTTTTCAAATATTTTTGTTATTTATTAAGAAATTTTATATGGCCGCCTGACTCACTCATGGTGACTCTGGGCAGAATATAAATATCTTTATATGCTGTATTAAAAACTAATTTAATGACATAATGAATAAAAATGTTTTCATTAAATTGGTTTTTGCACTTTTAATTCTGCATAACCAGACGATGGGTTCTGCAACATTTAATTCAGGAAAACTCCTTGCCCGCTCTTGTGACTAAAGGGAACTTAGAAGCATTACCCACGGAAAAAATACAGCGGCTGGTGAAAGAAGAAATGGATGTTTGTTGTGATGCTGCTGGACGATATCCAAGTAATTATAATGCCTGGTCCCATCGTATCTGGGTGTTACAGAATTTGGCAAAGCTCAATACAAAGGTATGGGTGCAATAGAAGTTCTACATGTGTTTGTTGGCACATTTTTTTTTAAATATTTGTGCTGAATTCAATTAAGTATGACTAACAAGTGTTTGGGGTGGTAAGAAAATAATAAAAAGAATTGATCTAATTCATGCAAAAAAATGGATTAAAGCTGAAGGTTAGCTGAGTTCTAACCTCTTTTGACAGAAATCAGTAGAAAAGCAAAATAGGGTGAAAATGAAGGCTTCTATGAAAATAAACATGGGATGACAGGGCTTCACCGTTCTTGTTTGAGCTTGGAAGTTAAGCAAGTCTGCTTAGTCCTAGAATTCGTGGTTCTCAATCTTGCCTTCACCATGGATCCCGTTTAAATACTTTTTATGGCCACAAACTATGGCCACGGACCCCCATGACTTAATTCGAGATTTAAATCATAACATTTCTTTAAGTCTTTGCGGACCCCATGTGATCACATCGCGGTTCCCCAGGAGTCCACGGACCACAGGTTGAGAACCACTGCGTTAGGGAATTCCAAAGCTTTAAGATAAATTGAGAAGTTGAAAGACATTCTGGAAGAAATTACTTTTGTAATGTTGCCCCTCTCTATGTCACAAAATAGCGTAGATGTGTCAATGAAGTAACTAGGAGTCAAGCTCGAATTGAGGGTATCTTTACTGTTAACTACATTTTGTTCAGCAGATATTTAAATGCCATTTCTTTTCATTTCTACTATCTAAGATCTTAAATTTAAATATGAGAGGCAATATGATGAAGTGGTTAAATCACCAGGTTAGAAACCAAAAGACCATGGGTTCTAGTCCCACCTTAAGGCACAAAGCCAGCTGGGTGACCTTGGGTTGCCATTCTTTCTCAAGCCACTTCCAAAAATCTTGCCAAGAAAACTGCGGGGAGGCATTCACCAGGAGTCAACATTGACTCAAAGGTACAAAAAGTAGGGGGGAAAGCATATGTCAAAACAATGCATTGTAAAAATACAAATTATATATCAGTATAATTTCAAACAGATGATGCACTTTAGAAACACCATAGTTTAATTTATGAGTGCCTTTCAGATTATCTAAGCTTAAACTGATGTAATGGATTAGCATGACATTAAACAACTGGAATCTTGCTCACGAAATTTTCAAAATATGTTATTAATAAAAACAGAAATGCCTATTACAAAACAGCTGGCTGTACCCTTTTGAAAAATATCCAGAGTGTCCTCTAAAGTGAATTCTGTGATCCAGTTGGAATCTTGTCATATCCATCTTAAAACCGAAAAGGAAAATATTCTTACTATATTTAGTATGGTTGGTCGCATAGTCAGCCAGATGTTTAGTCTGGGATTTGGCATTTTTGTCACCTAAGGAGTCCTTTCTAAGGACCTGGAATGGGCAGATGTTGCATTTCATGTAATAACAAAAGTGTAAGTGGGCCATAACTGGTGACCCTGATGGGGCGGGTAGATAGTTCTAGATCAGAGGTGTCAAACTGCTGGCCTGCGGGCCGATTGCATCATACAGAGACTGTGCAATGCAAAAAATGTCGCAGTAGGTTGTGACACGTCACGTGATGTGGTGAGTTTGATACCTATGTTCTAGATCAAGTAAAATACAGTAGGGACATAAACTGTGTGCACAATTATTAGGCAAGTGAGTATTTTGACCATATCATCATTTTCATGCATATTTTCCACCTTCAAGCTGTATAAACTTGAATGCTTATTGGATATAAGCATATCAGGTGATGTGTATTTGTGTAATGAGGGAGGGTGTGGCCTATATGTACCCCATATAAAGATGTGCATAATTATTAGGCAGTTTATTTTCCTCAGGCAAATGGGCCAAAAAGAGATTTAATTGCCTCTGAAAAGTCAAAAATTGTAAAAAGTCTTTCAAAGAGATGCAGCACTCTTGAAAGTGCTAAGATATTTGGATGTAAACCCTCAAATGTTTTGTTGCAAACAGAATGGCAAGAAATGTGTTGAGAAAAAAAGATGCACATTAACTGCCAAAGATTTGAGAATAATCAGACGTGAAGCTATCAGGAACCCATTATCCTTCAGTGCTGTCATATTCCAGAACTGCAACCTATCTGGAGTGCCCAGAAGTCCAAGGTGTTCAGTGCTCAGAGATATGGCCAAGGTAAGGAAGGCTGAAACCCAACCACTAAAGAAGACAAATAAGTTGAATAAGCAAGACTGGGCCAAGAAATATCCGAAGACAGATTTTTCAGAGATTTATGGACTGATGAGATGAGAGTGACTCTTGACAGACCAGATGGATGGGCCCATGGCTGGATCAGTAATGGGCACAGAGCTCTACTTCGACTCAGATGCCAGCAAGGTGGAGGTGGGGTATTAGTATGGGCTGGTATTATTAAAGATGAGCTAGTTGGACCTTTTCAGGTTGAAGATGGACTCAAACTCAACTCCCAAACCTACTGCCAGTTTTTAGAAGACACTTTCTTCAAGCAGTGGTACAGGAAAAAGTCTGCATCTTTCAAGAAGACCATGATTTTTATGCAGGACAATGCTCCGTTCCATGCATTGAAGTACTCCAGTACGTAGTTAGCCAGTAAAGGCCTTAAAGATGAATGAATGATGACATGGCCCCCTTCCTCACCAGACCTAAACCCTATTGAGAACTTGTGGGAGATTTACGGTGAAGGAAAACAGTACACCTCTCTGAACAGTGTCTGAGAAGCTGTGGTTGCTGCTGCACAAAACATTGATAGTCAACAGATCAAGAAACTGACAGAGTCCATGAATGGAAGGCTTATGACTGTTATTAAAAAGAAGGGTGGCTATACTGTTTACTGATTTTTTGTGTGTGAAATGTCAGAAATGTTTATTTCTACATTTTGAGTTGTTTGTTTGTTTGTTATTCTCACTTTAACAGGTGCAAATGAGTTAGCTGGGCAAATTTTCATTTTTTTGTTTAGTTGCATATTAATTCTGCACACTAATAGTTGTCCAATAATTATGCACACATAGATATTCTCCTAAGAAAGCCGAAGCCTTACTTTTATTTTATATTCAGGTTTGAGGCTTATTAACATTTCGGATTGACCAAGAGCAGTGTAGTTGTTCAGTAAGAAAATGATTCCTCCAAAATGCAGTTTGCCTAATAATTGTGCACACAGTGTATATGGAAGTAGTACTGGTTAAGGATTGGGTGCATGTATGTGCAACCTCTAGGCATCATTGCCAGTTGTGATGAAGGAACATGGCAGTGGTGGGAAAATGGTATGTTTTATACCAGGAGAAATTGATATACCAGCAGTGGTTAGGAAGAAGAAAGTAGGAACCAACCCACATCAATTGGTGCTTTTCCTTCCTCCTAGGCTAATTCAGATTTCTCATTGCTCACCTTTTCCAAATAATTAAATGTTTGGGTTAGCATCTGTGTAAGTTTTGCTTTTGTTTCTAATTTGGCTGTGTTTTGTTTTCCATGTTTGGTGTGTGTCATAGACTCCTTGCAATAGTTTAGAATACATTGTCATAAAAGATAATTTGAAGGTGAAAGCTGATTAGTGTTTATGCTGAATGTTTCATTCTATTATGTTTTTAATTCTCAGATTCTTCTCGATGAACTTTCTTCCACTAAACGCTGGGTCTCCATGCATGTTTCAGACCATAGTGGATTCCACTACCGTCAGTTTTTATTAAAATCTTTGATTGTCAGAACTGGGACTGATTGTATTATAAAGTTATGTGATCATCCAACCAATCAACAAACATCTTGTTTTCCAAAAGATGAAGCGGATGAAGGTGCAGAAGCTTTTTGCATGGAAAAGCAACAGCCAGATCACTCGCTGTATCTGAAAGAGGAAATAGGGCTCTGCACTGATTTAATTGACACTTACCCAGGGCATGAAACGTTATGGTATCACAGGTAAGGAAATTTAAATAATAGAGGATTGAAAAGGACAGTTACCCCTTCAAATCTGATGCACTTTTTTCCAAGTCAGGTTTCCCTTTCTGGTATCTTGTGATAAGTTGTATTCCTCCTCTAATTTCCCAAGCCTTTAGAACAGACATGTCAAACACAAGGCCCAGGGGCTGGATGCGGCCTGTGAAGTGGTTTCATGTGGCCCGCAAAGCCATCCTGGAAACAGTGAGGGAACAGCCCCCACTGCCTTGGCCCTGGCCCAGGCCGGCCGGGAGCCAATGTACAATTTTGTGGTGGCCATCTATGCTGAAATGCATTCAGTCTTAGCTCCACAAGGCCTTCTGGAAACAGCGAGGAACCAGCCCCTACTGCGTCGGCCCCACCCCTGGTGCATGCTGGGGAGGTGTCACCTTTGTGAGGAATGAAGAAATGCACCATCTCCTGGAAGTGGCCAGCAAATGGCCCTTGCCTACTTCACATATCCGGCTTGATGGGCTCTGCCCTGGTCCCACTCCTTTCTGCCAGAGACCCTCAGATCTGTCCCACTCCTGCCCAGGCCCCCATAGGCACCCTTGACACGAATGATGGCCACGCCCACCTAGTAGGCCACACCCACTCCACCCACACCCACCCAGTAGGCTGCACCCACCCTGGCCACACACCCCCGCCCCCCTGAGAGCAACTGCAATGCTGATGCGGCCCTGATTGAAATTGAGTTTGACACCCCTGCTCTAGAACAAGTTTGTTGAGGATGTATGAAGAATACAGTAGTAATGAGAATATGATCCGTCAGCAAGGTAAATTCTGCTGACAGATGGACAAAATGATACAAATATTGTTTTATTGCTTTTTCAGGGAATTCACAGTGTTAGCTATTGTATTCAGACATTATTTGCAAAATGTAGGTTATGTTAAGTTGGAGCTTAGTCCTTCAAACTTTCTGTTATACTCTATATTTAGAAGAGGGACAGAACATGTTAAAAGACATAAAAGCTTGATTTCCACATGTTTTTTGTTTTTTAAAGACGCCAAGTCTTCTACCTTCAAAACCACTTAAAGAAGTGTCCAGTTCCAAGCATCTGGTCATCCACTTCAAACAATAAGGATGGAACAGTTAATAATTCACATCCTCATGTTACAACTGGCCATACCACACAAGCCATGGATGTTGACGGTTTATCTGAATGCAACAAACAAAGCTATAGTCAAGAAACCAAACGCCTGAAGCGTGCTCCTATGCAGGACTGTATCAACGTGGAAGAAGAATATAAGTTCATCGATCACGTTTTGTCAACGTGTAGGGAGGGGGATCAGGCAAGGTTTGCAAGTTCATACAGAAAATGGCTAGTTTCTTTTCTAGGTCAGTGAAGATCTTTTAAAACTCTTTAGGGTCTTTGTTTAGTGCAATATCCTCTTTACAGACAGGTGTACTTAGGACCCCTGGCACTTTTCACCCTTCTGTTATTCCTGCCACTGCTAAACTTCATTTATTGACGTTGGGTTTAGTTCTATTTATATTTTTAAAAAACACTTTGTGTTAATTTTTATGGATCTTTGTAGGATAGCCCCACCTAAAAAGGAACTGCTTAGTGTTAATATAAATTAAGTGCAAATTTTAAAGTAACTAATATAACTGGAGAAATAGGAAAATAGAAAGGTAGATCTACTGGTGAACAATGATTTCATTCTTAAAAATACCTCGTCCATAATAAATGCACCTAATCAAAGTCATTGGTCGGTGAAAACCATGGAAAATCATTCAGCATGGCAATGTCAAAATGGTTTTGAGTACAAGTCTTCATTTTATAATTGCATTGCATCACTGTTCTTCTGACCTCTTTTTATTTCACATTTGAATTGCTCCGATAATCTTACAGTCCTATGACTTTTTTATTATTATAGTGAAAGTGGGATATGGTTATATGAAATGGGATAGTTACGTTAAAAAAAATGTCTACCAAACTGAAACTAATCATTCAATATAAGAACACTGGTGTTTAGGTTTTCTCTGGCTTTTGTGAATTTGGAGGCTTTCGTGAATTTGATGGTTGGAAGATATGGAAATACAAGAAGATGACCCAGGAACAAAATTCTATCTAATCTTATCCCTGCCTGCAATTTTCTTGGCACATGCAGATTTTCCTTTCCCAAAACATATAAAGCGTTTCATACTTGGATTTTTATTGTATGTGATGATATACATGATAGGTACTGGGTATGATAGACAATATGCTGACCATGGATGTTATCTTTGTAATGATACTTCACTTAATGGACAATCTACCATGCACTGGGACTCATTCATCTTCCATTTATTGCAACAGGACCATGTATGGCTCCTTTGCAAGACCATTTAAATCGCTTGTGGAAGTACAGTGCTCAACAGAATGATTTGCTTATTTGAGTTTTCTTCAGGTTATCCACGTAAATGCGGACAGGAAAGAAGAAAATGTGGAGGTAAGACTAAGCAGATTGTTCATGATGGGGCAGACAATTTCTTCTGTGCTTGAGCTGGATTGAGTTTATGAAGGCTTTCAAAGAAATTAATGAAATACGACTTGAAATCCATTTTTGCTTTTTTTTTTTTTTTAACTCTGAAATTCAAGTTAGATTTGCTGCAGTTACATAGAGGCAACTGTGGCTATTCAATTTGCTGCCCTTTTGTTATAGAATAAGGTCAAATTCTGTCTTTAAATTTGCATTTGTATCTCCCAGGGAAAGCATTAGGGATTGTATGTGCCAGGGGTGTCAAACTCACTGCGTCACTTGATGTGTCGCGATGTATCGTGACTTTTTTCCCCTTGCCGGAGCTGGGATGGGTGCGGCTTCTGCGTGACGCATCTGGCCCGTGGGCCAGCAGTTTGACACCCCTGGTATACGCAATAAAACCAAATTCCAAATCTGGAATTAAATTGCAGAGTATTTCTGAATTTTAACCTTTGCTTATAGCTTGCAAAATACAGAGGGTATGTTTGAAGGGTTTACAGAAATATTACCAGAATGACTGAAAAAATGTATAGTTTTAAGATTCAGAGAAATAACAGATGAACAATTCCATCAGAAATGGAAGAACAAACAAAAACCTGCCTTTTTAGAGTCCTAACTACATAATATTAAGGGCCTGTTGTAAGCAAACTGGAAGTTAAATATATGAGCATAGCTAGCATATTTTCTGAAATGTGGGATTGTCTAGAAATACAAATCCACACAGAAACATGACAGGCATCTCTAAATGCTATACATAGTATTTATTTAGAGTGTAGGTGAAAACTTCTGTAGTTGGATTAATTCAGAATCCATTTGTGAACACTAATTTGACTGGTTCCTTTGAAGTCTCAGAATGGGAAAAATTGCATACAAGAATCACGTATATTTAATTATGCCTCTGGGCGCTAGTGGTTATTACCATACATTAAAGGCACCTAGCAGAGCTCTGCACTACTAAATAGCAATATATTAAGCACTTAGCCTGTCAGAAGTCAAAATACTGAGACCTAATAACTCAACCATGACACTAGTGAGAAAACACCTGACCACCTTATCCAATACCAAGTGTTTCTTCATAAAATTTGTTAATTGTATTAATACAAGCACACTATAAGCATCACAGAATATAGTCCACGGGTGTTCTTAGGAATTCAGGAATTGTTAACAATGCAATCCTAGTTAAAAATGTACTGATTAGAGACTCTGAAAATGAGGCACAATGTGCCTTCGCTAGGAGGATTCTACAGGATTCATTATTTTATTCATCCTACATCCTAAATTATGTTCACCTGCAAATGAACCAACAAACTAGTTACGTTAGCTGAGTAATTTAAATTCGGCTTAGAATGAACTGAAGAAAGGAAAAAGTTGAGCTGTTCCATATTCATTCCTATCATGTCATGGACATTGCTGGCAAAGGCAGAGTATAGTCTTAACTAATTACAAGTAGTTTGAGTTCAGTAGCACCCTAAACAAGTAATCTAATTCTCCCCCATTCACACCTACATATTTAAAGGTTAACACCTTCCCCCCCCCCCATGACTGATGTTGGGATACACACAGTTTAACCAGTCTCCTTTCAGCTCATTAGGCTATTTTGCTCACTTGTAATTGATTGCTCGTTTGCTGTTTGTTAGATTGCATCACATTTGAACAGCTACATTTTTATTTTTCCTTATATAATTAATAAGAGCCTATGCTATCTTTTTGTTAAATGTAAACTGCAGATATTTGTGGACATCATGGGGTACTTCAAAAATTAAAACCCCTTTAAAACAAGGGTCCCCAACTCCCGGTCGTTGGCCCAGCACCGGGCTGTGGCCCTTTGGGAAGCAGGCCGCACAAGCAGCAGGCGAGCATGCGAAGCGCCATTTGTGCAAGTGGCAGGCACACTTGTGAAACCATCTCCTCCCCCCCCTCTTCACTGCTGCTAGTCTGCAGAGCTGGAAAAGTTAGGGACCGCTGCTTTAAAATACTAAATTAGGAGATCAACATAAGCAAACAACCATTAAGTAAATCATTATTTGTGAATTGATCTAGAAATTAACTCTTCATCTCTGATACTTACTCAGATATAATTGCTAGTCTCTTCGGGATGACAGTTGTACCCCAGATACCATTGAGATAGTTGAACTTCTACTAGACTTTATATCAATTTTTTTCAGTTTTAGCCCTGTTTTGATACTGTTTGCATCATAGTAACCATCTGCTAAACATTCTTTTATTTTTAAGTCTATATTGTTAAGCAGAACGCCTTCCATGAGTACAGGTAGTTCTCGACTTACGAAGATTCATTCAGTGACCGTTCAAAGTTACAATGGCACTGAAAAAGTGACCTGTGGCCATTTTTCACATTTTGAGGCTGTTGCAACAGCCCTGTGGCCACATAATCAAAATTCAGACTCTTTGCAAGCGGCATGTATTTATGATGGTTGCAGTGTCCCAGGGTCACGTGATCACCTTTTGCCACCTTCAGACAAGCACAGTCAATGGGGAAGCCAGCCTCACTTAACTTTGTTACTAACTTAACAACTGCAGTGATTCACTTAGCAACTGTGGAAACAAAGATTGTAAAATGGGGCAAAACTCACTTAAATATTGTCTCGCTTAGCAACAGAAATTTTGGGCTCAATTGTTGTCGTAAGTCGAGGACTACCTGTTTTTCTCAGTAGGGATAAATCTGCTTGTCTTAATGAATAAAAGTTTAATTGAATGGTTTGACTATTTCAAAAGCTTTCTTGATAGTTA